CACACACACACACACACACACACACACACACACACACACACACACACGTTTTAACAAGTTTATCTGATCAACATCTTTGAACTCTGTTTTCTGACAGCGAGTCAAAGACTATTTGTTCCTCCTCAGAGTTGTGGTGTAACCAACCTATTTTGGGAGCTCCGTTCTTTTCCTCGGCGTTAGCCTCGTTGCCCACCCAAAGGAAAAGCTGTAGGCAGAGACACGTACAGTGAATGCTTGATCTGATGGCTCACACGTGACTTTTACACAAATCATTGGCATGCGTCTTTTTAGACGCTAAAACTCAAACATGACAAAACATTCCTCCTACCTGGTCCCAGGTATCCAGGATCATGACATCATCAGTAGCCAGGTCTGACTGTGTGAAGTCTCCTGGCACCTCTTCAACCTGCAGACACAGCAAAAATAAAACGTGGATAGATGATTTGCTGAGATGTTTCTGTGTCAAAGACGAGATGAAAAGTTCTGCTCTCGTCACTCACAATAAGTCTTCCTGTTTTGTTGGAGCAGCCAAAAAGACGTGGGGGTCTGGCCGTGCTCTGCAGACTCTTGGAGGTCTGGTACTCCTTCTTGCCGCCCAAAGCATCCCAGAAATTACCTGAGAAGGAAAGAGAACAACAACCATGAGAGTGAAGGAGGTTCCTGCAGCTGTGAGAGCGGCGCGGTGTTTGTTTGAACAGGAAATGAGTCACGGCTGTATCGTCTTCACTGAATTTAATTCAAACCAGAACAGGAATCTGCCCGTCGTGTTCTCTCTGAGACTTTTTATTTCCCCCCACTGGTGCATTTTTACACCCGAGTTTAAGACGAAGATGAAAAGAGACAGACTTTTTGTGTCTTTTTTTATCAAACCATTGTAAACGATAATATTTGCAATCTCTTGATATTGCAAGATCTTTTCAGAGTATGTTTTGTGGATGACTCTCAGCAACTACCTCACTACATTTAGCTCAATATTTGTAAATCTGCCTGCGTCAAAGCCATTTTTGTGTTAGCTTAGCTTGATTAGCTTTGGCGGCCATTTTAAATTAGGCTGGCACCAAAAGTCAATCAGTCGTAGATGTACCGCTAAGAGTTGCATGACAATTTGTCCAGTGGCTCATGAGATATTTTGCTAACAGGGTCTTATCTCCACCAGGTAAAACTCACGTACAGTGCCATTATGTGGTGCTCAGATTGTGTTGATGACTCTCAGCTACTACCACACCAGATGTGAGCTCAGTATCTGTAAAGTTGGCTGAGTTATAACCATTTCTGAGTTGACGCAGGTCAGTTAGCTGTGGCGGCCATCTTGAATAGGACACAAGTTAACCAGTTGTAGATGTATCCAAATGATTACTTTCTGAAAGTTCTGTTGTAAACAATCCATCCTGTGGTTCGTTAGATATTTTGCTGACAGTGCAGGCAAACGGACACACCAAAACACGAGCGACAGCATCATCGTCCACCAGCAGCAGGTGATGACAAATCGACATTTCTTTGTTAAAAACTGGGAATCGTAGTTTCTTTTAATCTTTGTTAAGATTTGAGCTGCAACCTTTGTTGGTAATTTCTCCTTGTATCCCTGTCATTTGTGTGATGTGCTGAACCTACCTGGCTCCTTGCCCTCCGACACGTGAGTCGGACTGCCACCCAGAAACCCCACGACGTGCTTCGAGGCCTCCATCTCCTCGCCACTGGCGCCCACTCCCCGCCACACAAACAGGCCGCTCGGGCTTTTCAGCACAAACACATCGTTGGTGTTCAAGTTGGAGGCACAGGCCTGGACCTGACGGTGCAGGACAGACAAATCAGAACTCTGCACCGCCCGTGTGCGCACTGGGAGCCGCACGCTGCAGACCAGCTCACCTCCACGGCCCGGGTGGCACCAGAAGAACTCTGACGAATGTGGAAGAGGCGGACGCTGCCAGGCCGGGACTGACCATCTTTGCGGGAGGTGCCTCCGCTGTGAATGATCATGGGTTTGCCCTGGAAGATGCTCATCAGGTGCGGGGGCTCCTGACCCTGAGTCACTCTCACCTGTGCATGGACAGAACCAAGCCACCAACTGAACTCTGGTTTACCCACAAATGGAAAATTAAAGCACCATTATATCGCCTTTCATGGGTTAGACTTTAAACATGTTGATAAATGTTAGTCAAATGATAATCTGTCAGAGCATGTGTTGTGAATTACTACCACCGCGTCAGTTTTTCACTACAGCTTTTAGTTTTTCGTCAGTTGTAAACATGATTGTCATCAAGAAGAGGGGCTACATGGAGAAGTATGGACGAGTTTCATGTGTTGGTGCCATTAAATTCAAAATTAAACTAGTTTTCCTACAAATGCCACAACGTATTAGATGCATCATCTCTGATCTATTGTGAGTAAAATATTTGAGTTTTTCAGATCATTGCATTCTTTAAATCTACAATTGACTCAACATGCCAGTGTTTCCAGAAGTGGAAATGTAGATTTGTTTTGCAGTGAAAGCAAAGAAATGTATCTCTAATATTTATTTAAGAAGCATTTAAAGTCGATCAGTGACTGTTAGTGTGAGTTTGACTGCAGCTGAAGAGGAATCTGCACGTTGGAATCAAAACTTTACTTTGTGCATGTTAAAATCATAAAGTGAGGCTGCTTTAAAATAAGATGAGACACGCTGCCCTCTGCTGGCTCACGTGTTATTTGAGTTTTATCCTCTCAGGAATGTGAAGGTCCATATCTGCTAAATAGTTTTGGTTAAAAGGCTCGACTAGTTAAAATAAACATTGCAAAACTTCAGCCAGACATTTCTGCCTTGGTGAGTGACAAATTGTTCATTACAACAAAAGATCTGCAGACTTCATCATAAAATACTAAAATACTACATTAACATTTTAGATAATTGAGAGATTTTAGTATCTTGAGTTTTGTTTCTCACTCAACTTTCCTTCTTAAAATGTTGATTTCACTTTACTTTTAACTTCACTCAAGACTTGTATAGTACAAATATATAAGGGGGAGAGGTGGCACAGAGGTTAGAGAAGGTGGGCCTGCGATCAGAAGGTCACCGGTTCAACTCCAGACAGACGAGATCAAAGTGTGGGTGGAAAAGGTGAAACACCTACACCTGCCTCCACCCTCATCTGCCCCACGCTGGGCACCCGAGCAAGGGCCCCCACCTGTCCCCCCTGAAAATGAGTCCTCGTGATTCAATGAGACTGGTAAAAAAAAAAAGTTGCGTGTGTGTGTGTGTATATATATGTGTGTAT